AACTGCCAGCTCAGAGGCCTGCAGCAGCAGGCGGGGAACGTTGGAGTCCTCCCTCACTGAGGCAAGCAAGCCTCATGTTAGTTTCAAGCTGCCTGGCTGCCGGCCGCCATCTTGGCTGACAGTTAATTTGCATATCACGCTGATTAGCCAATGAAAAGGGTAGCGGTCGTACGCCAATTAACATGTTTCTCTTTTATTAGTGTAGATAGGCATACAGAAAATTATGCAAAGGCAAATGAGGTAATTAGTCACCTTAGACAAAACAAAAACTTTCAGGAGAAAGAAAATGTACTCTAACTTTCTTACTCATAATAGTGTAAATATTCTATTTTGATTTAATGAAAAAAATCTGTATTATAATAATAGTAAATATGTATATAGCACTTACTGTGCTCCAGACATTGTTTAAAATGCTTTATATGCATTAATTCATTTTATCACATTAATTCATTTTTTATAAACATGTACTGTCATTATATCTCATTTTATATATGAGGAGACAAGGGCATAGAAGTTAAGTGACTTGCCTAAAGTCACATGCTAGCAAGTGATAAATAAAGCCCAGTTTCAAACCAAGGCTATCTGACTCCAAAGTTTGTGTTTAACCACTATGCATACTTCTGAAGAGGGAGGAAATATGTTTATGTGAGTTTATGGTTATTGGAGATGGGAGGATGGTAGTAGTACAATTGATATATGAACGTAGTGGTAGTTATAAAATAAATCTAAATTCTCTTTTTCCTTAGTAAGACTTCAACAAATAGAGTCTATACTTGAAAAATAAAAATAAGATAGCAATAAAGCCATGTTATTTATAAATATGAAGGTAAATAGCAGAAAACCAAATAAAAGAGTTCAATGAGGGACTGGGTCTTGGTGATTGGAGGGGATGGAATGGAGAAATACTTTTTTAAAATATGTTTTTATGTATTTTAAAGAGGGAGTGTGATTGAGAGAGAGAAAAAAACATCACTGTGAGAGAGAAACATCGATCTGTTGCCTCCTGTACACACCCTGACTGGGGATCGAACCTGCAACTTGGACATGTTCCCTGACTGGGAATTGAACTGGTGACCTTTTGGCACATGGGACAGCACTCAACCAATTGAGCCACACTGGTCAGGGCTAGGATTAATATTTTGTTTTCAGTTTTATAATTCTCTGTGACTTTTAAAACTATGTACATGAATTACTATTATAAAAATTGAATTTATAAAAGAAAATAATTGATTTTAATTTAATTTGGTAATATAATAATTTTTTTTTGGTTTGGACAGATAATAGGATACATCTTAATTAGTAATGTGTTGAATTCTAATAGCTCAAATGTTTTAATTTTTATTTTCAATGAAATTTTTCAGTGGTCAAGTCAGACCTGGTAACTATGAGATTTATGTAAGAAATGGTTCTCCTTTATACCTGGAATGATAATTACTTCTTAATGTACTTTTCTTACTATTTTCTTTGTTGATTATTTTTGTATGTGTTGGTAGGTTACGTAAGCTCATAAAACAATATCTTTCTTACAAATTTTGAGAGATACTTATTTGATATAACTCATGGAGACTGCAGCTAATCTTTGTAAATTTGACTTATCACTTCCTTTCCACTCATCTATCCTTTTTATATAGCATACTTTCTTTCACATAGTATTTCACCCATTATTATTCTTTTTCTAGCAGCAATGAAAATAACTTTTCAGGATATTATCTTAGTTGAATTGACCATTTACATGTTATTTTATTCTAATTGGCCTACTCTCACACCTTTGAACAAAATCATTTTTCCTATATTTAAATTCTTTTTATTAGCTTTCCTCCAGTGTTTACCCAACCAACTTAGTGGTTCTGATGAGATTACTAAAGAATTACATGAATTTTGTTTTCTGTTCTCACTACTACAATAAATATATTTCTTTTTGCTTTTTTCTCATAAAGGCAACTCTCATACATTATAAATTTTATATTGTTTACTGGTTTGTACATTGTACTGTTAACAAAAAAACTTTAGTGAAATACGGAATAATTAACTTAGTTTTTCTAATAAGAACAGAGACAGCAATAGAATTTTAGTTGGTATCAGTGTTGTCAGTTTTTTTTCACCTAATGTCAGAAGTACAAATTAATTAAGTATGCAGTGTATCTATCATGATCATGATGTCTCAACATAATTTGAGGTTATTAAAATATATAAGTAAATTGATAGATAGCATATATTTTGGACCTATATAATTAAATCTTTCTCCATTACTTATTGACAGATATGTTTAAAGGGTAAAGTACACATATTTAAATACTTAAGTATCCAAGCATGTTGCAGAATGGATAAGAAACCAGATTCTCTGGATCTTCCATCACTGAGTAAAAGAATGCCCTCCCAGCCTCTCACAGACAGGTAATGTAATATTCTTACAGTCTTGTTTCATGATTAGTATATTCTCTTTATAGAAAAGATATTTATTAATTTTGAGTGAACTGAATATGTTTAGGCTGATTGTCTCAGTGTTAAATTCAATAATTGTTTGAAGTGAAATATTACCATCATAGGATGAACTTCTGGATACTAGAATCAACTTGGAATTTTCTCAAAAAATTAATTATTATTAAAATTTTAGTAGTAAAATGCAAACATTTAACATTATAGTGCAGAAATACTAATTTCTCAGTACTTGACTATTACTCCTATGATCATTCTATTGTACATTTGTAATAACTAGTAGAATTTAACTTCGACTTGAATTTGGCAGAAGAGCAAGGCATTTTTGAGTGCTTCCTTACTTTATATTTTTTGTATCTAGATCAAAGATGATTTATCATCGATGTTCTGTATGATATCGATGTTTTTATCCTCATGAAATTTTGAAATGATATATTTGATACTGTTTTTAATTCATCTTTTTAAGATGTAGATTGGTGTAATTATATGAAAACAATTTCATCCAATAGGATGGAAAATAATTGGTATGAGGTGAAACTATATTTAAAGGTTTGACATTGTATTTATGACAAAGTTTAGACTACTTAGAATAGCAATATAATAAGTACTGTTGTTAATAGTGCAAGCTCTGGAATTCCCAAATAGGTCTTTTTCTTGAATTTTTTTCTGCTGCCTAAGTAGAATTAAGTATCCAAACATTAAATTTAGTTCCTAAAGATTCTTTTGTTTAATGTTATGAATGATAGTAAACCAAACGATTCTATAAAAAATTAGACTTAATTCATATTCTACTCTCTATTAGTCTGTTTTACATTTATTTAAAAATGAATTTACTTTAGTAACAGCTTTATTATATCAGTTATTTATTCTACAAATATTGGTAGCATGCCTACTGGTTCAGGGTATGTTTTGTTGAATGATATACATATTGGTCTCGGCCTTCATGTAGCTCACAGTCTAATGGATGAGTCAGTTAATAAACAAAGCGAGGGAACACAATACACATAATTTCAAATTTCCTTGCTATAAAGGGAAGGAACATGTTTTAGGAGTAAAGATAGGAAATGTCTCCTTGGTATGGTCTGGTTTAATTCAAGACCTGACAGGAGAAAAAGTAGTTGTGTAAAGAGTGAGGGGAAGAACATTTCAGGCAGAAATAATGACATGTGCAAAGGCCTTAAGTTAGGAAGAGGCTTGGTATGTTAAAAAAATAAATAGCCCTAGCCTGTTTGGTTGAGTGGTTGGAGCACCAACCCTTGGACTGAAGGATCCTCGGCCCCAATCCAGGGCACAAATCCAGGTATCTCTCACATCAATGTTTTTCTCTCTGTGTTGTCTCCCACTCCCTTCCACTCTGTCTGAAAATCAATGGAAAAAAAATATCCTCAGGTGAGGATTAACAAAACAAAACAGAACAGTACAGAACAAAACAAACAAAAAACTAAATGGAGGCCAGCATGCTTGAAGCAGAGTGGCTAAAGCAGCCGAGGGCAAACTAAGGCCCGCGGGCCAGATCTGGCCCGTTTGAAATGAATAAAACTATTGAAAAAAAAGACCGTACCCTTTTATGTAATGATGTTTACTTTGAATTTATATTAGTTCACACAAACACTCCATCCATGCTTTTGTTCCGGCCCTCCGGTCCAGTTTAAGAACCCATTGTGGCCCTCGAGTCAAAAAGTTTGCCCACCCCTGGGCTAAAGGCTAGAATGGTATGTGTTGGTTTTGGTTAGTAAGGACTCAAGTCACGTGGGGGCTTTTGAGGCTGTGGTAAGGAGTTTAAATTGTATTTAAAGTAGAGTGGGAACTCATTGGACAGCAGGGGAATAACGTGATCTGATTTATGTTAAAAAAAAACAAAACACCAAACAAACCTATCTTCGCTTATATAGGGAGAATAGATTGGAAGTAAACAAAAATAGAAGTAGAGGGACTAGTTAGGTTGTTGCAGTTCTTCCAAGAGATCAAGGGGTCTTCAGTAAGGTGATTGCAGTAGAGATGAAAAGGAGTGGATAGAATTGAGATATATTTTGGAGATAGTCTCTAGCAGTGTCACCCAATAAAATGTGATGTGAGTGACATATGGAATTTTAAATTTTCTTGTAACCCATGTAAAAAAAGGTAAAAAAGGAGTAGGTAAAATTAATTTTAGCAATACACATTATTTAACTCATATCAAAAATATTTCAACATCTAATTTAAATAGAAAAATTAGTGAGTTTATTTCACATTCTTTTTTTCCTATTAAATCTTTGAAATCTGGTGTGTATTTTATTTACATTTACAGCATGCCTCAGTTTGGACTAGCTACATTTAAAGTGCTCAATAGCTATATACTCCTGGCGGCTGCTGTATTGGACAGTGCAGGTCAACAGAGTTTCCTTCTGAGTTGGCTCTTGGGTGTGCTAGCCTCCCACTCACAGCTTGTATTGAATGAAGTACCTAGAAAAATTCTTGTATGTACATTTCACTTTCATACTCATGTCCTTGCCTATATCGTTCTTACTACTTATAAAACCCTTCCATGTCTTGACTAGTTTGTAAATTGTTCACTCTACAAAGATAGGCATTGCAGTAAAGTATGTCCACTTTTAGAGTCAGACATAATGTACCCGTAAAGCCCTTCTCTGGCTCTTCAAAACTATGTTCTTGTGTCATGTCTGTGGTCCTCCATATTCTTTTTCTTTTGCTCCTTAGTTTTCTTTTCTTTTTTAAAAAAATATTCTATTGATTTTTTTCAGAGAGGAAGGGAGAGGGATACAGAGTCAGAAACATCGATGAGAGAGAAACATCGACCAGCTGCCTCCTGCACACCCCCCACTGGGGATGTGCCCGCAACCGAGGTACATGCCCTTGACCGGAATCGAACCCGGGACCCTTCAGTCCGCAGGCCGATGCTCCACCCACTGAGCCAAACCAATCAGGGCGCTCCTTAGTTTTCTTATATGTAAATCAAAAATAATCATATGGATGATGTCAGGATTAAATGAAATAATGTCTATAGAGAACTTAACACAATGCCTTACCCAAAATAATTCCTCAACAAATAGCTTATTATCATTATCATCTTTTAGAAATACACAGATGTATTTTAATAGTACATAGTATTATTGTGCAGTAGTCAGATGAATTTCAGCTCTAATCACTGTTTAACTTCTTAATTCCTCTGTGGACTGTGTAAGGTATTTAATCTCTCTGAGCTTGTTTATTTAAAATGTTAATAATACCCATTTCCTAAGCTTATTGTGAGAATTAAATGTGTGCTTGGCAATTGGTAGTTACAAAATAGTTACGGAGGTGTAAAGAGTATAGCATAGTGAATATAGTCAGTAATATTGTAATATATATGTATGGTGCCAGGTGGGTACTGGAAATATTGGGGAGGCCATGTTGTAAAGTATATAATAATCTAACCACTATGCTGCATACCTGAAACTAGTACAAAATAATATTAAATGTAAATTATAATTGAAAAATAAAAATTTAAAAATAATGAAAATAATAGATTTTTAAAAATAATTTTGAAACCCACACTTGAAAGTACAGTGTAGGGCTCAATTTTTTTGTAAATCTGAAGTATTTAATAATAATAAAAATAATAATGCTAATAGTAATATAAAAAAATAAATGTGTGCGCCCTAGCTGGTTTGGCTTAGTAGATAGAGCGTCAACCTGTGGACTGAAGGGTCCGGGATTTGATTCCAGTCAGGGGCACATGCCTGGGTTGGAGGCTCGATCCCCAGTAGGGGGGGTGCAGGAGGCAGCCAATCAGTTATTCTTTCTCATCATTGATGTTTCTATTTTTCTCTCTCTTCCTTCGTCTCTGAAATCAATAAAAAATAAAATAAATATGTGCTTGGCAACTAGTTCAGTAAATGATATTCAGTAAATGTTATAATTTTTCCCCATGGAAAATTAACTTTTATAAGCTTTATTATCCTCATTTGTAAAAAGATATAGTGCATAAATTACAGAATATAATTAAAATGTAAGTATTAAAAGTAAAATATGAAGTACCTAACAGAGTGTAGATGCTCAACAAATATTAGCAATTATTTCGTCTTTTTATCCTTCAAGACTAAGCCCAAATACCCTTTTCTTGGGTAAGGCCTTTCCTAACCTTACAAGGAGAATTAATTTCTCTTTTCTCACAGCACTTTATATTTACCTTTGTCATAGTCTTCAAGACATGTGAATATACTTATTTCACCTCTGGTCTGAGAGCCCTTTGAGGTAAAACATTTTTTAATTCATCTCATCTCAAGCATTCAGCATAGTGTCTCATAGTTGGCAATTACTTCCCTAAGTTTATTAATATACTCCAGAAGAGTATAAAGATCAGTTTTTTGGGGAGGAAATATAGCATAGTGATTTAAATCAGGGACTTCAGTGTTAATCTGGGGAACAAATTTAGACTGCCATTTGCAAGTTGCATGTCATTGGGTAAACTGTTCAACCCTTCCTCAGATCAGTTTCCTCATCTGTAAAATGAGAAAACACCAACAATCTGCTAGAGTTTTTAAAGGAATATATGAGATATTGTCTTTAAAGCACTTAGCCCAATTCCTGGCACATGCTAAGGTGTCCATAGGGTGTATGGTAAATTTTCAAATTAAAGTGAAAATGTACTTCGCTACCTGGGTGGCATACTGTGTATTCAGAAATTTGCAAAGATAGCTCTGACCTCACACCAGAAAAATTGTTTATTCAATGCTTTGCAAACTTTGTTTTGTATTTTCTCTTTTCTCGGTTATCAAATGGACGTTATTCATAAAGCTAAAGCATATTTTTAGAGCTAATGAAGAAGAAACTATGAATTGAAGTTCTAAAATATTTCATCATTCTATGGTGAAATTTGTCAAACCAATGACAAAAACAGGAAGATATTGTATCAAGATGATTTTGCTTTTCTGTATCTCTCAGGAGAAATAAAGCGTACTATTAACAATTGACACTTTATAACAGAGCGCATGAAGGAAAAATATTTCATGAGGGACATGAATGAAGGGTTTTGTTAGGAAGGTTCCTGACATTTTCCCCCTCATGTCCTTAAGGGTCTCAGACATCAAAAGCGTATATTCTGTATTATATAGGAAAATTTTAGGTCAAGACTATATTATCTATTTAAGAAGAAAACCCTAACTGTTCTTAGAATTTCTATTTCCATAGTATGGAAGATTTTTATCCAAATAAAAATCCTGGCCCTGACTCTGGAATTGGAAGTGATAATGGAGAGAAACGGTTATCTGCAACAGAAGTGAGTATTTTTTATTGCTGATCTATTTTATTTTAAAATTTTATTAGAGCTTTGAAATAGACACTTGCACATACTGAGTTATTTTGCTTAAAAGTATAATCATCATTACATTATATGAAACCATACATGTACATTTTTAAACTCACAACAGTAAACCTTAACATACTCATTTTTGCTTTGAAAACTGGAAATGTAAAGCACATATTGAACACTTCATATGTTAATTTAAAGCAACTTAATTCTTTATCGTATTTTAAAATGCCTCATTGGTACTTGGGCTTCATTTTTTTCAGCCATCAGATGACGACACAATCAGCCTTCACTCTCAAGTCTCAGAATCAAACAGAGAGCAGACATCAAGAAACGATAGTCACTCCGTTGGAAGTAAACCTGATTCTCAGAAAGGTAATCCATATGGTGTTCGCTCTATTTATTTTATGTACATAGCCCTTATAAAAAACAGACTTTGAAAAACAGTATCTTTGGCCAACTCTTTTATTGAGAAAACACACTTTTATTCTAAGCAGTGTCAGAATAAACTATTCATATTTTCTAATAAATATTATTTTATACTTAGACCAGGAAGTGTATGATTTTATTGACCACAACGCAGAAGATGTAGCAGTTCCCGAACAAGGAGATGCACATATTGGATCCTTTGTTTCTTTCCTTAAGGTAAAGAAACAAATATTAATAACATGTTCTCCTTGATATCACAAAAATGGACCATACAATTTAAAATGATAATTTTCTTTTATATAAGGGAAAAGAAAAAGGTCCTGAAAAATCTCAGAAAAATGAAGAATTAGGAGATGAGAAAAGGTAAGCTCACACAAATTCTCAAATTGAAATGTTACTTATAAGTATTTAAAATATATTTAGATATTCTTACTTGGAAGAATATAATTTTTGTTGATTTACCAATTATACTAGTATTTAGGTAATTTGTGAATACTTTATTTGCTTGCATTCCTCAATTAAACTGAAAATTCTTGTAAACATTTAAATTGAGTGTCATTTATGCACTGTTTTTCCCCTCCGAAGTGTAATAATAATGTCTCCTATGATTATTACTGAGGAGGACTGTACCTTCACATACATTGCCCATTTAAGTTACTTCGTAAGCCTTTTAAATAGATGATATTGGCATCATTTGATGAAGAAGGAAAGCGAGTCCCAGGTTTTCAAATATCTGCAACTCATGTGTCCTAACTCTTACTCTTTCATTGAGAAAATATACTTTAAGGGTATTTTCATATTTTATTAAAATAAGTGTGCTTTGGATCTCTTCTATATCATTTATCTTACAAAATGATGGAATATGACCTATGACACTTTTCCTTTTAAGTTCCTTCATCGAAGCAGAAAGGAAGGGAAGAGCATATTTTGAAAACCTACCACGTACCAGGATCTGTGCTATGTGCTTTCCCATGTATCTGATATAATGCTCACTAAATTCTGCACAGTAGATATTGTCCTCATTTTTACGGATGAGGAAGGTGAAGCTTGGAGATGGAAATTTCTTGGCTAGAACCACCTAGCTAGTATCCAGTAGAACCTAGACCAGGGGTGGGCAAACTTTTTGACGCGAGGGCCACATGGGTTCTTAAACTGGACCGGAGGGCCGGAACAAAAGCATGGATGGAGTGTTTGTGTGAACTAATATAAATTCAAAGTAAACATCATTACATAAAAGGGTATGGTCTTTTTTTTTTTTTAGTTTTATTCATTTCAAACGGGCCGGATCTGGCCCGCGGGCCGTAGTTTGCCCACGGCTGACCTAGTGTGTAAACTGAGCTCTCGCTGATCCTGAAGCTTTTCTCTTTTCTCTACATTGTGCTTCCTCTAAATGACTCATTGGTAGCTTTTTAAGCGGGCATTAATCATGCCTGGTACATCATAAGGAGATACATAGCTTTATCTTATATTATTTATATTTAATTATTTTATTTTCTCACTTTATCTCATGAGGACAGTTGCCTAAACTTGAGAGTCACCACTGGAATGCAAGTTATGGTAAAGGTAGAGTCTTAGTAGGATTTGATACTTTTTTGTTTTTAAATTAAATACTTCTGTTTGGAGTACAGTTTATTTTACAGTTTATTGGTTCTATTTGAATGATAAAAATTATGTATTTTTGGCACTTTTGCCAAACTTATTTGAACCCATTTTGCATTTCCTCTACTTAAACATTTTGTGGAGAGATTTTTAAGATCATTATGAAAATTTCATGACATTTTATATTTACTGATAAAGACTGGACAGATAGAATTCTGTAGTTCTTATTATACTCACAACTGGGAAGTATGCATTACTAAAATTACTATGGCCATTACACATTTCAGAAATTACAAAAAGGTAATACTACAGTTCACTTTATTAGCCATTAATTATACTAATATAACCACTATGCTACATTTTCTGTTTAGTGGAAAGGATAGATATGCTTTTATATTCTTTAAATATTCCTTATTTCTTATTTTAATGTTTTAAATACACGGATGTTAAGATTTTAGCTTTCACATGGCATTAAAAACTAAACATGGCTTCTAATTCTGGAAGCAGGCATAAAATAAAAAGAGACTTTATTGGGGTGGTGGAACACACAATACAATATACAGATGATGTATTATAGAATTGTATACCTGAAACCTATATAATTTTATTAAACAATGTCACTCCAATAAATTCAATAAGTAACAACAATAATACAATAAATGAAAAAAATCTTCTGTCTTTTTGGATAAACATGTATGTGTCATCTTTTAGACTTGGAAAAGAACTTGCAGAGGAAGAAGATGATGATTTGAAGGAAGTAACTGATTTGAAGAAAGTAGCCGCTCAGTTATTGCATCAAGAGCAAAAGAACAGGTATATTTTAGTTAATGATATTTAAATTGGCAAATTTTACAATCATTAAATCTGATTATTTAAAGATTATCAAATAAAGTATATGAAGTTTTTAGTAGATAATAGGGCCATTTTAAGAATTATTTGAAGGGATTAACTGCTAAAAGACAATAGGAAATACTTAGGAGAGAAATGTAAAGTTGCATATATAATTAAGACAATTACTCACATTGTCATTATATTTAATTATTGGTTAGGTATCTCTTTTTTATTCCTGTGTGCTCAATAATTATTTATTTGTTGATATTTGCTTTAGGTCACAGTAGCATTAGATATATTGTAAGCATTTTTTCCCATATATATGTCATAAGTATGTAGTATGCTTTTTATCGGATTCCAAGCTACTTCCTTTTCCAAGTTAGGAAAGTTTTCAGTCCTTATTACTTCAAATAGGTTCTCAGTCTCTTGTTCTCTCTTCTCCTTCTGGTACCCTATCATATGGATGCTATTATATACACTCCATGTTGTCCCTGAGGTCCCTTAAACTATCCTCTTTTTAAAAAAATTCTTTTTTTTATTTGCTGCTTTAATTGGGTCTGTTCTCCTACCTTATCTTCCAAATCACGGATTTGTTCCCCTGCTTTATCTAGGACTCTTTTTTTTTTAAATATATTTTTTATTGATTAAGAAATTACATATGTGTCCTTGTCCCCACGTTACCCTCTACCCACCCTCCACTCTTGCCCTCCCCGC